TATGTTACCATTTTTTTAAACCTACAGCCCTACAGTGAGAGAATTGGTCCAAAAATGCGGCTCCCAACGGCATGAATTGTTTTGTCAACGGCTTGATTTCTGCTGAAAAGCAGAAACAGACACCCTATAAATAATTAATGATATAATGTTTATGTAATTGATAAAAATTAGATGTGTGATTTTAATATTGTGATGTAGGTTGGTGAGATTGAAGAAAATAAGCAAAAGTAGACAAATTTGAAGAAATGAATAAATTGTAAGGGATCCAAAGTTTTGGGGTTAAAATGTAAATACTTAAAAGTTGTGCCGAATCTCACGATGAATATTTGAGAGTTCTCGGAGTCAATTGGATAAAGGAAGACGTCAATAGAATCAAATTTAGTCAAAAGATGATCACAAATCAATTTCCAACCGAAAAGTTATGCTCCGATGTTTTAGTCTCATATTGATACNTTGTTTGTTCGTATATTGGTTACTTCGTTTTCATCGAAAATTAGTTTGTTTAGTGGCGATGTTAATGGGAAAATTTGGAAGTGTTTGGCCGGTTCGGAATTTACAATTTAACCCCTATTTGGAGCACATTTTTTCCTCCAAGAATGCATTTTTTTATGTGATGAGAAATATATAGTTGAAAAAGAAGAAAAAGTTATTGATGTGATGAAAAATAATATTGAAGAATATGTTGCTGAAAATGAGTATAGAAGAACGAAAATGAAAAATAACGTGGCTCAAACAGGGGCTTAGAATTGGAACTGTCGCTAGTGGCTCCTTAATATTTTATTTTTTTAATTAAAAAAATTCTTCGATTTTGTATTGGACGGAGAGTCCAATCACTAGATGGGCCTAGCATGGCCGAGCTGACGAGTTTTGATGGGTTCGACTCATTTTTACACGTCTAGTTGTTGTGGTGGACAAGATATGACCACGGCATTCTTGGAGAAATGGGAGAAAATGAGTTGAAATGAGCAATAGGGTGAAGGAACCGAAGAGGCGGATTCGGTCGAGCCTTCAATAGGGGTTCGATTGGACATAAATTTATTTCATTTCTTTCTTTAGTGCTTGTTTGTTAAAAATTTGTTAAAATTTTATCGAGTTTTCAATTGGCCAAACTTCAATCTTAACCGGTGTTCTAAAATTCAAGCATATGCTCGCATAAAAGATATCCGTGTAATAATGCAGCCAATTAATTTCGTTAATAGCATATGCATGCTTAAACACCAAATTGCAAACGTATTTTTGTTAAAAATTGTGTCAAAATTTTGCCTAACAAAACTCAACCCATTTTTATAACTTAAAAAATCAAATTAGCTCAAATCACACAAACTATGAATTGTGTACATCAATTTGTAGAGTTTTGACGTTTAGAAAAATAAAAAATCAAAACAAATTTTTCATAAGGTTGGAAACTATCTACATCGAGCCTGAGCCTCTTTCTTCTTTGGTCTTCATCTAGTTTTATATATACATAGACATAAATGTATGTATGTATGTGTGTGTATTGAAAATTTGAAAA